TGCTGACATCTGCCTCAGACTGGCTTCAGCAGGGGGTGGGATGGGGAGGAGGAAGGCACCAGCTATCCATGCCAGCTGCTGCTCAGGGGAGGGTAGTGAGCTGTGGGTGGGTTTGCACCTGTACTATGTGCTCTGCATCTTGTGCTCCTGAATGATTTGGAAGCAAAGGATCCTGGCAGGATCATTCTGCCTTGGAACAGTGCTGGGTGAAGGATGGGCAGTTTCCATGGAATGCTGGTGTGAAGGCACAGCTCTCTCTCCCCTCCTGCCATCCCAGAGATGGCCATCATCTCAAAATAGGTGGGTATTTATTGCATCCGAACGTGTGTCCTACCTTACAGACCCTGTGCTTCCAGCCCAGCCTGCAGGGAGGGCAGAAAGCTGCTGGAGACACGTGGTGATCCTGCTGCAATGTGCTGAAGTGTTAGAAACTATAAAAGTAGCATTTTATTTTTTTTTTAGGTTTTATTTTCAATTTCTACCCTTGAGAGGTGGTAGCTGCTTATTTGTGGCACTCTGATTCCACTCTGTTGTCACAGATACAGGGAAGAATATTCAAAGGTGTTTCATGTCCCCCCTGCCCCCCCCCCCCCAAAAAAAAAAATCTGAGCGCTGTGATGGGGAAGGAGGGGGCTTTTCTTTGAGGGAGAGGGTGCTCAGAAAGAAGCAAGCTTCAAGCTAAACCTGGGAGGTGGATGGCTTGCAAACAGGCTATAAATAACTGTGAGTAGATTGAGGAGAGCAGCCCACATCTCCTCTGGCATGGGCATGCTGTGCCCATTTTCTTTGTTGATAGCAATTGCTAATGTGAATTCTGGCACTCCAAATCCCGATGCCTGTTGTTCTGATAACATAATTAAATCTTAGGAATGTGAAACATAAAAAGCTTTGAGGAGAAACCAGGCCACTAAGCGGATACTGGGAAGGGGGGACGTGGGGTGAGCACGTACCAAAGGAGCAGTGGGATCTCTCCAGGCAGGATTCCCTACCTGCCAGCTCATGGGGAGTCATCCTGGCCTTCCCTGTGGGCAAGGGGGTGACTCCCAGGAGCATCTGCTGTCCTAATCCCATGCTGCAAGGGCTGTCATCTTCCAGGATTACAGCATGTCACAGGCTCCTTTACGTTGGCAAGGGTCA